ATACTTTCTCGTCCTAGAATCCCTCTCCTAGTCCCAGATCTTAAGTCCCCGGAACTCCGAACAGATCGGTCTAAAGGGCTATACTATACTACACTGTGCATTGACTCGTCGGGATCATCCTATGACCCCCAACTTCGGCTCCGAAGAACCCCACCCGCGGACGATTTCCGGGGTCTTAAGCCCCCACCAGCGATTTGATTAGGGGGGCCCGGAGCCCCCCTAAAAATTGGGGGTGGGGGGCCGGAGCCCGACCAGACGTGTAGTTTGCCCCCCCCCAGGAGGTGGGGGTGCGGGGGGCCCGGGAACCCCCCCCCAGGAGGTGGGGTGCGGGGGGCCCGGGAGCCCCCCCAAGAGGTGGGGTGCGGGGGGCCGGGAGCATCAGCAGGAGGTGGGGTGCGGGGGGCCGGGAGCACCAGCAGGAGGTGGGGTGCAGGGTGGGCCAGCGGCAGAGCAGGCAGGCATTTGTGGTGGGTCCAAGGCCCAGGGAGGAGGAAGTAATTGAAGGATTCGGTTTGGGAAGGGATGGGGCTGGGAAGTGTAGAAAGGCGGCAGGGACGAGCGGGCGGTGCCCATGCATTTGCCAGGCTATAAATATGCTCTGGGACCTGCCTTCCCTGGGCCCCACCCGGCCGGCACTCGGTGGTAAAGCTGATTCCGAGTACGTGCATCGGCATTGTCCCCTTGCAGGGAGGGAAGCTGCTTTCCGGTCCCCCTGCCCCGAGGGGTGGGGATCCGTCCTCCTACCCTCATCCTGGCTGACGCTTCCCTCCCCTCCAGCACGAGGACGCGCCCAGCGCCAGGCTGCAGGGCGAGGTGCTGGCCCTGGAGGAGGAGCGGGCGCAGGTGCTCGGGCGCGTGGAGCAGCTCAAGGTCCACGTGAAGGAGCTGGAGCAGCAGCTGCAGGAGTCGGCCCGCGAGGTGAGCCTCCTGCGGGGCTGGCGGGATGCTGCAGAGGCCCTAGGAGCGGTTCGGGCGGGTCTGAGCGCCTGGACCGGCCCTGATGTGGACCCGGTCGCTCCCAGGCCGAGATGGAGCGGGCGCTGCTGCAGGGCGAGAGGGAGGCCGAGCGGGCGCTGCTGCAGCAGGAGCAGAGGGCGGCGGACCAGCTGCAGGAGAAGCTGCTGGCCTTGGAGACGGGCGTCCAGAAGGAGAGGGACAAGGTAACCACACCTGGCCGGGCTCGGGCCGGGCCTGGGAGAGAAGGAGAAACGCCTCTGGCTGGAGGGTGGGGTGGGGCCCTCGCCCCTCACTTCATCCTCTAACCTGCCCACCAGGTGGCCTCTGTGTCGCTTTGGGGAGGGGCCTTGTCCCCCGTGGAAGGTAGCAGCTCGGAGGTCCCGCGGGCTGGGCTGGTTACCTCGGTCTGGGGTCTCCTCTGGCTGGGTCTCTGTGCTGTCCCGGGTGCCTGCCATTCTGGGCCCTGCTAGGAAGTACCCAACCCCCTTCTGGGACAGTGAGCACAGCCGAGGGCCTGGTGCTGGGAGCGATGCAGGCTGGGGTCCCCCACGCGTGCCTGGTGCGCAGGCGGTGGTCTCCGGGAGAGCCCTCAGCCTCTGCTCCCCTGAGCCTCCAGGACCTACAGCTGCGGCCCTGCCCCTCTCAGGTTTAGTGCCAGCCTGCAGGGACCATTCCGTCCCCGAGGGGCCGTGCCAGCCACACCCAGGATGGCCTACAATGTGCCAAAAGCTCTCAAGTGGAGAGGGGCCATTTATTTTTGGGCTGACAGTATTTTTCTAAGAATTCATCTCCTCCTGCATTTTTTTTGAGAGTGTCTTTCTCCTTCCCCTCAATTTGGAAGCTCTTACACATTCTTTGACAACCACCTCCCCTTTTTGAATTTTGGCTCTAGGCCCCAAAACCACACTCCCAGATTCTGTGCCAAGTTAACTCTATGCTTACCAGACAGGCCTGCACTAACGTGTCCCGTCCCCCCCCCCTCCACTGTCCCAGTCACTGTCCTGGGCTCTGTGCATGCCCCTAACTCCAGTGCCACCCGGGCGGGGAAGAGCTATGAGCCATGCCACTTCTGCACTAACTCCACGGGCTTTGGGCCTCTCCCCTCTAACGCTGCCTTCTTCCTTTCTGGGTGTGGACCCCAGGGTTTTGATCAGAAAAGAATGGGCAAGGGGCACAGCTCAACCTGACTCCATGGGCACCGGCAGGAGGGTGCAAGGTTGGGGGAAACGCTTGATGAGGGCCTCTCAGCCTGCAGAGCCCTCCCCTTTGGAAGGCTGGTGCTGCCCCCGCAGACGGGTGAGGGAGGCCTGCTGCCCCCAGCACCTGCCCACCTTCCTCCAAGCAGGGGGTCAGGAGGCCAGTGGTGTGGCATGGCTGTGGAGCTCCCTTGGGGGCTCCCCAAATGCAGACCTTCGGGCAGAGGGTGGGAATGGGGGCCTCTCCCTTCCTGCCCCGAGTCGTCCAGAACACAGGGTGCTGTAAAGGTCGAGTCCGAGGATGGGGAGGTGCTTGGACCCCGACTGAACTGACCGGGTCCTCCTCCCCAGGAGGGCGGTGGATTATAGGGGGTCGGGCCGGGCTCAGCATGGTCTTATTCCCGGAGAAGCTCACCGGTCCAGAAGGAGCCTGCCCAGCCGCACTGCTCCTGTGCCCGGTGTGGCCCGGAGGCCTGGCCTCGGCCTCTCAGAGCCCGATTATGTGAGGCCCCACTCTCGCTGTGGGATCAGTAGTCAGTTTCTCCCCTGCCTGCCTGTCCTTCGGAGGTGACTCACCAGCGCCTCCCGTCCTGCCCTGCCCTCAGGGGTGTCATCTCGCCCCAGACAGAGCCACCCACCTCCTCTCTGTATCCACGGCTGGGGCACCGGTTACCATGGCAACTCCTGAACTAATTGCAGCCCTCAGCCTGCTGAAGTTCAGCCTGTGGTGCCAGCACTCACCCCACCCCGGGCAGGAGGGAGGAGGCCACGGGGTTGGGCTGGTCCCCTTTGCCGCTCACCGCTCACCGCTCACTGCTCACCGCTGCCATAGCTTCACGTCCTCAGCTCCCGATTCACTCCCATCCCCTGGATTTCCTCACACCTCACCTCCCCCC